ATATTATATATATATATATATATATATATATATATATATATATATATATATATATATATATATATATATATAATATATATATATATATATATATATATATATATATATATATATATATATATATATATATATATATATATATATATATATATATATATATATATATATATATATATATATATATATATATATATATATATATATATATATATATATATATATATATATATATACATATATATATATATATATATATATATATATATATATATATATATATATATATATATATATATATATAATATATCCGCCCTATTTAAAATTTTGCAAAAATCCAATTTTATTATTCGGCTTAGAAGTTGCCCTCTAGCTAAATTTTAAAGAAATCTCCAACAATGTATTGGTTGACATTTTTTGTTTGTAGGACGATTAATAATTTTCGGGAGAGTATTGTTGCGTAACTCCAGAATTTGCTAAGAGTGAATAACCACCACCCTCCTAATAAATTTTACTGCAATTTCAAGTTTGATACATTTTTCTGGTCGCTCTGATGAGGTGAGCTCATTTGTCAAGAAAGAATCACGGATCTAGCGAATAGATGTTATAATATTTTCTACCAAAGTTTCAAATAAAAAATATTCACTTGACTTTACCAACATGATCGACCTGTGCACAACCTACGCCTCAATGCAAAATTCTTTCCAAACAGTGCTGCAAAAATTATGTCCATAATATTGAAATGTCTTCAGCGAGTGATTTCGAATTTCATAAACTCTAGAAGTAAAACTATTAATTTGCCTAGTACGGATTATTTAGAACACGTTGATGCGGAAATGTGTCCGGAGGCGGTTTCCTGTTTGCCGGCCATTTTAGTTTCGTATATTCCAATAATTATTATCCCTGCACTGGGGTAACATCATTGTATAACAAAAATATGGCTAGTTATTCTATTGCAACTTCTGAAATTTTCATAGAACTTAATAATCTCAACATTTCCACCCTATTTTACCGAATGATTGTTCACTCTTGTGTTGGTAAAGCGCTGACACATTATTTTTAATAAATACTTAACTTGTAACTTTGCAAACTTTAGGAAAACAAACTACCTATTTTCAAAGCTGGGATCAAATTTGTATTATTAAGGCAATAAGAACATTTGAAATAATTCAATATTAAAATATGTGTCAGGCCACGCTCCAACATTGCGTTGCAAGCGAGATTTTTTAAAAATATTTCTTAAATAGGTACCATAACTAATTAATATAATGTTTTTGTATTCTATTTCATTTATTTTAGCGATATTTGAATGATAATGGTTCAAGAACTATATAAAAATAAACAGATTTTTTACTAACCACTTAACCGACTAGTGATTTTTTTTAAATAACGCTATAAAATTAAACGATAGTCAACGATATTCAAATTCAAAGCCCTCTTTAAAACTCATCTATTTCACAAGTAGTTAGAGTCTTATTGCTTATTTCACTGGTAGTACTATTTTAAGTGGTGATAATATATTATTATCATATTTATTATATTGGACAAAGTAGGCCATAATGTATTTATAAAAAAAATATCGAGTATCCCTAATAAAATCCAAAAACTGACATTCCGCCAGTAACTAAAATTTAATTACAAAAATATGTCGTCAAAGAAGAGCGAATCCTTCATTTTCAAAAATTCGATTTCGCGCGGGCAGCGGTTGCTGTACTACAAAAATTGCTCCAATTCGCGTCCTGAAAATTACCAAACGCCAAATTAAGTGTCAGCAACAGTTCGCTGCAATTTAAAAGTTGTTCGGAATAATCTAATTAAATTGGTTTTTCTGTTCTCTGCAAGAATGAAAGGTCCGCTTTGTTTTGTTAATTGAAATGAACGCGCGTAGCAACCGAACAATGATTTTTTAGGTATTCGTACTGTTTTACTTTACCTGAAAGCGTTTTTTTAGTCACTATTCGGCGAGCGAAACCGATACGCCAGGGGTAGAACGCGGCGAGAGTGTTTCAGCTAAATTGGAAAATGAATTTACCTTTGTTAACAAAATAGAAAATCGTTTGTGCTTTTCAGCTAAATTAAATACCTGCAAGCCAGTTTTTTTCTACTATTTAGATATGTGATTAGCCGAGTTGGAAGGAAATAAATAGTTTTTAACGCCTTGTCCCTAGTTCATAGAAGAATGAATTAAAAAAAATCTTTAATTAAATAGCCAGACTGCTCTCTTGGATATTTATAACTTAACTTAAGTTTCCCAAAGCAAAGCAAGCAAATTGGAAACTCCGCTTTCTGAAGGAGGTAGACAAAAAAAAACGCTTTTTGGTAAAAACTGAATATTGATGTATGTTTCCGGTTTAGAGTTAAAGAGTTTATAAGTTGGACATTTAAATGCTAATTCTGTCATCGCACACTGTCCGGATGTCAGGGATGTTGTTTTAGAAAATAACTTTAACATTTATTGTGTAACCGAAAATAACTTCAAAGCTCATATACCCACGGCTGTTGTTAATATAGATTGCAATAGTTTAATCCGTCAAGACCGTGTCGGCAGACGTGGAGGTGACATGTAATACGTAAAAAACTACTTGTAATAATGGCTAACTGGAGAGCCTTTTAGTAAGTTTTAAAGTTAAAAATTGTAACTTATTTGTTGCAGTGTTTTACCGGCTAAGGGCAGTGTGTAGTGGAAGATAAGTAAGTGAATCTAATAATGTGAATGTAAGTCGCAAAATATCATATTATTCTGAAATATCGCCTGTATTTGATTACATTATTACTACTGGTGATGTAAATGTTGACTTGGTGCACCCAAATAACCCCCCTTCATAATGTTTTGATACCTACCATATGAGTCAGATTATCAATGAACCAACTGGTGTGACACCATCGACTTCAAAACTCCTCGACTCTATTTTAATAAGCAATTTGCAGTTGGTTAAAAACTGCTGTGTAGTTAATGCAGATTTCATTTCAGATCACAGCTTAGTTATTGTAAGTTATATTTGGAGTCGACCTAGTCCAAGCAAAAATTGTACACTTTTAGGTCTTTTAAATACTTTAGAGAGGACAAATTCCTTGGGGATTTGCGAAGTATAACTGGTTATTATATTAATTTATAAAAAGAATAAGTTTTTAAGCGGCAATATTGTAGGCCTTTTTGACATTCATGACCCAGCTAAAAGAGTTAAGCTAAGCAAACCCTCTGCGCAGTGGATGCAGTAAAGCATATAAGAAACGAGAGAGATAAAGCATTTCAAAAATACAAAAAGAGCAAAACTGTCGAAAACTGGAACAGATGCAAAAGTCATCCCTCAGTCGTCAAAAACCTGCATATTTAAAATTTGTTATCTCTGAAGATGCTGCTATGATCTGGAAGCGTTTAAAAAGAATAAATATCATGTGATCAACTAAGCCAGCATTATCACCAAATCTGCAAGATCCACAAATTATTAACAAATATACCTTATCTACTTTTTCCAATACCAGCGCGGATCCTGAGTTGATTGAATTTTATAAATCCAATAAGATAAGTAATTCTGTTTTTGATTTTGTCGTACCTTCTCAAGAAGACAGCAGAATCAGAAAACAGATTAAATGCTGACAGATGCAACGATTTTGCTTTACTTATGGTCAAACTGTGTCCGGTCATACTGAATCACATTACTCATATCATAAATATTTGTTTAGAGATTGGGTACTTTCCATCCATATGAAAAACAGCCATAGTTTTCCCAATTCCTAAGATTGCTTCTCAATCCGGCGTCAATGATCTTAGACGAATCGACATATTACCTGTGCTTAGCATGGTGTTGGAGAAGGTTGCTCATCAGAAAGTACTTTCACGCTTATTGCTTTACTGCATATCAATGATCTAATAATAAAAACTTTAGATAAACATGTTTCAACAATACCGGTCTTACTTGATCTTTCAAAGGCATTCGATTGCTTGGATCATGAGTTATTGTGCACTAAACTAAAGCACTTTAGTTTCACGGATCTATCTGTATCTTTTTTTCAGTCGTATTTATTTTATAGGCAGC